TATATATATAGGCATGTATATAAAAAGGATTGAGGAAGGCAATTGCATTTATTTTTGATGCGGGAGCAATCCCACAATCTTCCTCATTTCTTACAGGATCAAGAAGACGCATTACATCTAGGGTACTCATATATTTCTATAAAATCAATGCTTCACATTAGTCACGTTCGCAAGAATGGTATTTCGTTTTTGTCTACTTAATTTATATGATGTCCAGTGAAGCAAAAATATCGGGTCCTGAACCCTTTTTGATACTTATTTCTTAAAACATGAGGATAACAGTTTGGCTACTGTTTATCTAGCCTGTGTGTCCTATGTGTTTTAGAATGTCTCAGTGTCTTTGAATGGATGGTCTGTGTTTTCTTTGTTTTTAGATGGTCCTGTGTCAGTAGTGTTCCTGGTTGCCATTACTGTAAAGTGTAATTCTAAATAATCATTGCTTGTTCTCTGTATTTTCTGATGGCTCAGTGTATAGATTATTCAGTGTATTGGTAAAGAAACAGTACAATTTCGTATTGCAAATATGAAACTTTAATATACATACATAATATTTCACAAGCATAAAAAACATTTATTATAGCAACTCATTTAAAACTTCGGCAAGCTCCAGGCCGGTCCAGGACTTAATCCAGGTATAGTTGTTTGGGCCCGGCCCAGCACGTTTATATTTATATAGTATCTATGGCTAGAAACCTTTACAAGATATACCAAGTTTTTTAACAAAGGACGTACGCAAACACCGTCTATCTCAATACTTTATTTAAATCTTCCTGATTTTACCAACAATTATTGTGGTAGAGGAGATGGAGAAAGGTTCCTTTTTCGTATAAAGTTTTAGTCTAAAGCGTACAATATTGCAATAAAAACAATTACACTAGTAATAATTACTAATGAATTATCTAGTATGTGTGTAATTTTTAATTATTTATAAACTTTAACTTGACTCCTGAATTTTATAAGATGGGACTCCCATCCCATAAAATACAGCATTGGTACGGTATTACAAAATATTAAAAATCATCCCTCAACTATATGAGTCTTAGGTCTTAATAATACAGTTCCGGCCTGTATTCAGCGCTACGTTGATTACGCGTTATCATGTGTGAACACAGGTGGAAACTAACTGGACACAACGAAAAATTACATTTTTACAGTTTATTAATGTAAGAATAATGTACAATTATGAAACTTTCTAGTATGTAAATCTTTGCTTAATGAGTGCTAAACCATATTTAATGAATTTGAATTCACTTGAAAATGACCGGGATTCCGTTCATACATTGCTGTAAATAAAAACGGGAATACAACAGTAAATTGCCTTTAAAATATTATATTTTACAGTTTACTATCATAAACGATAGGCCTAGGCCTATGTAGAATTACGTAATTTTTGCTAGGCAAATCTTTGATATAACATGGTATTTTCTTGGACCATATTTGTTGGAGATCCAAGGTTCGAAAGCTTCGTACATAAATATTTAAAGATATATACCTTGAAATAATAGAGAAAACTTTTTGATACTACTAATACAATAAATGTAAAATTATATAGGCCCCATCATTTACATTAAATATAGAGTAATCCTGGTTTCAATTCCCGTGGGCAGCAGAATTGTGTCTTATCCTCGTAAAAATGAGGCTCAATGTTGAATTTCCTTCAAGTTAAAAGTTCAGTAGCTCATAAATTTTTAATTGCTCCGGGATGCCAATAAATTCAAAATGTTAAATTCAAATTATACTTTTAAGAACTTCGTTAGAGACTTTAAGCATGGAAAAATAGTGTGCATTCATCCATGATTAGGCATATAATCGTATAGGCCTATTTAATATAAAGAATATGAAATATATTTTCAACGAAATTGTGTTCTTATACTCAACAAATTTATAGCATAAAATATAAAACTTGTCAACATGATTATTATTGAACATTATTATACAGACCAATAAAGAATGTAAAAACAACTTATTTAAATCGCGCTCTAATACATTGAATATTGAAAACAAGCACCATCCCCAGAAGAAAAAATATACCCATAAAGATTCCAGCGACTAGTCCAACGTCGGAGTCGCTCACACCTCTGATACTTGAACTTACTGATTGCTTTCGTGAATTAAGTTGTGCGGGGATACGTCCTGCAATGATTGTTACCGGTATATCTACGCGAGGTTGATGTAGAACTGTCGTTCTACGCGGAGGAGGTTGAATCCTAGAGGTTGGCAGTGGTCCCCATGTTATATGCCTAGATTTAGTTGCTCCGGTGTAAGCAGGGAATGGTGTTGTAAATAAAGACGACCCTCTTTCATCACCATCAGTTCTATCATTCTCATCTATTACTTCGTCAGTATCGTTTGGTTGAAATCTCGGATATTTTTCTCCAACATCTGGGTTGTCTGTGCTGGAGCGTCTTGGTTTAGAAATAGTTGATTTCTCCTCGCCACTTTCACTATTTGAATACGAGAGTTTATTGGCATAACGGTTTGGCCTATTTAAAAAATTATTTTGCAGGTCCTCTTTTTCGCTGGGATTGTCTGTCTTAAATGCAGGTGGAATGATACGGGCATCCACAGAAGTTAAGGATTTCCCAATTTGGCCATGATGGTTTATTGCTGAAAAGGAAAAAAAAAACAGTCAAGATGATTTAGGATCGTTTTATATTGTTGAGTTAGAACAATAGGCTTCAAACAATAACACAAGTTAAGATTTATGATATGTAAAATATTTTTTATAGCATAAAATATAAAACTTGTCAACCATACATGATTATTATTGAACGTATATAGACCAATAAAGAATGTAAAACAACTGATTAAAATCTCACTCTAATACATTAAATATTGAAAACAAGCACCATTTCCGTGGAAGCCGCGGCTCCCCCCCCCCCCTTTGTACACAGTGTTAAAATTTTAAAGCTTATTCTTGAGCCAATACAAATTCTTTCCTGGGATCACTTAAAATGAATACTTCTAAGCATGTAAATATGCATCAGTACACGTTATACATAGGCCTAATAGAACACAT